TGTCTTTTTATTGTATATTCAGAAAGTATGGCTGTAGATAAACAAAATTACCAAATATCAGCGTCCAATTCCATTTCCTTCTGCCTTTTTTTTCAACGCAAACATGCAAATTTTTCGGCCGCCATTACTGAGTTGCCAATTAGCGAGATGTTGATTCTTAGCCGGATGTGACGTCATTTACTCAACACGCTTCTTTCCCGAAGGAGAAATTAATATTATCAAAGGCTTATACTAGGCTGCTTTTTGTTCAAAAATTATGTCTTCTGACGAAAGCCACAGCTCAAATTTTGCAACACAATCATCTTGCGAACTCTCTTTTGCCGAAGACGTTTCTTGTGATAGCGGGGGTGATGTAAATATGGAGAAAAGTGTGAATTTGTGCGAGGCCTATGATGCTTCAGTCGAAGCTCTTGCCACTGAAGAAACATAATACATGAAGAGTACTATACCTGAGCGAGAGCAAAAGCAGCAAACACTGTCTGCTAGATTGTCTGGGGAAACGTCAACTGACACCTGGTACGTTTTGGATTGTATTTATGTACGTTTTGGTTATATTTGTGACATAAAACAAACATGTGATGGCCATTAAAAACAAAACAAATGGTTTATACTCGTCGCCTTTTAAAATATTATTGTCACACCTCCGTTATTGCACGAAACGTCTTCAATGAGAGATGGCTTAAAGATTACTGTGTTGCCAAATTGGACTCGGATTCACATAGGAAAACATATTACTTTGCACAAGGTTGTTGGAAATATAATTCAATTATATATACTTCAATTATAATATTTTCTGTGTTGGTGTAATGTACTCAGGTGAAATGCTGTAAATGTGGTATTATAACTGTGTCCTGGCTCATTGTTGTGTACGTGAAACTTGTATAAAAGCTGGAAGAAAACATGCATGACCGCTGCTTAACTGAGCATCCAGCATTTGATATTGGTTGTTTGAAACATTGGGTGTTAAAACTTGCTGGTTTAAGTTACAAAACCAGAATAAAAGGCTGCCAAATGATACCACTCTGTATACCAAACGGAAGAAGAGTGAACCAGAGTATTTCAGTGTCTAGTTCTAGGCAATACCCCCCCCCCCCCACCCCCTAATGGAAGAGATTTACTTAATTATGAATCCCATCCCTCTAGATTTTTCTAACTGTCACTGATGCTCGTTTCCCCCTCCTCTATGGAAATTGTGGACAGTTTTTTACTACTATCATACTTTCAAGCAGGATGTCGGAGTTTTTAAAAAATAACTCGGTAAGATACAACAATACAACATTGTTCGCTTAAACAACACAGAAACCGTATCTTGGCATATGCACAGCAAGGAATGAGGTACCTTCTTGAACTGCTGGTATAGCCCCACACAAGCTTCACAACTTGCCGATATGCAACTGCCCTAAGAAACCTTTCAATAAGAAAATTTATATATTAACATGACAGCTTTAAAATTTAGTAATCTCAAAACTATCATGTCATTTGTGAGCTGTGTTCTGCATAAGAACACCAGGATTCATAATACAAGATGCTTGTTTAGTTTACTTATAACTTAGCTTTTGGCCTTTCAAGTTTTCTTTTTCACATGATGGGATGTTTCAGTACCTTGCTCATCTTTACAGGGATTCAAACATTACTAAATCCAGAATATGATACTCAGATCATGATATTGTATCAGTTTGGCTGCCCCTGGCTGGTGAGAATTTCTTACCACTCATCACCAGAGTAGGGAGTGCTCTTTTTCTCACCCACCTACCTGGCAATCATTAAAGAAAAACATGCAAATGTCTGGGGCTAGCCTTTTGAGGAAATGCTTAATGCCAAAAAATACTGATACATGACTCAAATTGCATAGTTCCAGGAAATAGCCATCCCCCCTGCCACAGAAGGGATTGGAAATTCAAGAGGATAGGGTGTGTCATTGCATCAAGATTTCCAGTGGAGTGGGGGTATACTAAAGTCTTGATATTTCCAGAGGGTATTCAAATACAACCAATATCAAATGCTGGTCATGCATGTTTTCTTCCAGCATCTTTTCCTTACAAAGTTCACATAAACGACATTCATCGGGTTTTACCACAAAGGCCAGGACACATTTTAATACCACGTACATTTACACCTATGGACCATTAAAATATTAAAGTATGCCGACAATTATATATATATATATATATAAATTGAAGCATATACCATATCATCAATTAAATTAAATTGAAGTATATTTCCTACAACTTTGTGCAAAGTAATATGTTTTCTTACTTGAATCCGAGTCCAATTTGGCACCACAGTAATCTTTAAGCCATCTCTCATTGAAGACGTTTCGTGCAATAACGGAGGTGACAATAATATTTTATAAGGAGACGAGTATAAACCATTTGTTTTGTTTTTAATGGCCATCACATGTTTGTTTTATGTCACAAATATAACCAAAACGTACATAAATACAATCCAAAACGTACCAGGTGTCAGTTGACGTTTCCCCAGACAATCTAGCAGACAGTGTGTGCTGCTTTTGCTCTCGCTCAGGTATAGTACTCTTCATGTATTATGTTTCTTCAGTGGCAAGAGCTTCGACTGAAGTATCATAGGCCTCGCACAAATTCACACTTTTCTCCATATTTACATCACCCCCGCTATCACAAGAAACGTCTTCGGCAAAAGAGAGTTCGCAAGATGATTGTGTTGCAAAATTTGAGCTGTGGCTTTCGTCAGAAGACATAATTTTGAACAAAAAACAGCCTAGAATAAGCCTTTGATAATATTAATTTCTCCTTCGGGAAAGAAGCGTGTTGAGTAAATGACGTCACATCCGGCTAAGAAATCGACACTTCGCTAATTGACAACTCAGTAATGGCGGCCGAGAAATTTGCATGTTTGCGTTGAAAAAAAAAGCCAGAAAGAAATGGAATTGGACGCTGATATTTGGTAATTTTGTTTATCTACTGATATACTTTCTGAATATACAATAAAAAGTGTACAGTGGCACTTTAAGGCACTAATAAGATGAAAGTATCACGAAATTATTTGAATAAACCACATCGTATATATGGGGGGCCGATTATCCTAAAGGGGGAGGCGATATTCCTGGGACATTCGCCCCTCTGGGGGGGGGGCGATATTCCGGATAGCCTGTCCCCGAGCAGTATTCCTAGGAATATGCCCCTTGAGATTGGACGAATCTCCTTGGGGGGGGCAAAAGTCCTGCGACAACGGCATGGGCAAATAGCAGTACCTTTTTAAAAATTCTTTCTTGTCCCCCAAAATATTAGCTTGGCCCTCAAATACCCCCCCCCCCAATTCTAAGGCCTGACGCCGCCACTGGTCAGGTTGTTGTCCATACAAACTGAATGGATTAGGAATTTCCACTATAAAAATAACCACAAAGTGAGGTCTCGCTTACCTGGCCAGTGTCGCATTAACAGCCCCTACCACAGAGACACCAGAAATATGGCAGCACTGGAGTGAATTAACCCATTGAGTCACATTGCGCCCTGATACGGCCTACTTTATTATTTTATTCTGTCTAACGCCAGACGATTTTACTCATCAAGGGGAGATTGCTAACTGGCCTATCTGCCCATGCATGTGTCTAGTTAACCCATTGAATCGCATTGCACCCTGCTTTATTACTTTACTCTGTCTAACGGCAGACAATTTCGCTTGTCAAGGGGACAGTGCTGATGCTTAATGGGTTAACCCAATATTCCAAGGGATGGGGCAAACAAGCTAATGGCCTTTTTAAGTTACATAGAACAAACTATATCAGAGAGCACACAAATTACAATCCTGGGTAAAACATGCATTCTCAGATCAGCTGAGCTTTGTCCTGCACCAGTTCACCACAAGCTCATGCATATAAACAAACCTTTACCTGAATATCTAATTACCTTAATTCCTTCTTTAATGAATATACTAGCAAAGGGATGAAATTATTATATTTTAAAGTTGATAGGTTCATCTACAACCACATTATAAACACTCGTGGATTATTTCCTAATAAAATAGAGTATACATTCTACCATTTATTCCCAATATTTAAAATATTTTTATACCTGTTTATAGTCTGTTAATAATACGGCTGATTGCTCAGACTTGAAGTATCGTTTTTGCCCACATTTCGCGAGGTTTTAATAGTTGTTTGTTATCTTTCACGCTTCACGGAAGAGAATTAACTTGTACGGCTTCCACATCTTTGAACAGATGGTCAACATTCGAAAAAATATGTCGCATATATCAAAACAACAAGGATTCACTGCAAAAAGCCGAAATATTTTTGTAAACCCAGGGGGGGGGGGGGTGAAAACTGTGGCGTGCTCATAATTGTGCGTTGTTCAGTGGCAATTACCATGAAGTTAGGGACCAGTAGTCATGGAAATGGCGTCATTTTGCCTGAAAATCCGCCATGTTTTGGCGGACACTTCGGTGACTGAACGAAGTATAGGAGCAGGTCTTCCAGTTATTATACTGCTCAGTGGTGCAAACTGGCCTTTTTATATTACTAAAGATCTAATGCAATGCCTCAAGTAAATAGCGAGAAAAAATGTATATTTTTTCTTATTCTTCTAGAATTAATCCAAAGCATTTTTTGCGACCATCAACCAGTGACTTGCGAAAATATGTAACGATTGGAGCCAATTTTGAGTTGCAATTGACGTTCCCTAACGGACAGGAGCCAGCACGCCACTGACAGCACTAATGCGACCGTACAATAAATTATAATTAGTTTCAAACCTATGGTGCATGCCTAAAGGCGGTTTTCCAGTCCTCGCACGAAGCTCCTCGTAGCTCGCTGCGAGTGCTTGCATCTAATTAAAATTAACTGTTTTGCATTGTGATTTCATGGATGAAAGTGCTCATGCATGCACTCACAGCGAGCTGCGAGGAGCTTCTTGCGAGGACAGGAAAACCGCCTTAACGCACAAAACTTTCGAGCAGTTGCCATGTAGCCATTTACATTGGTACTTTTCAATTCAAAATATAGAATTGACCATTTTCCTCCCCACAGAAAGGATAACTTTCAATAATTTTTTTCGAAAAATCGACTTTAAATATTATTCCCTGATAATTCCAAAATATTTCATATCGCTCTCTATGGCTTTTGCATTAACCATATTAATGGCCATTATACGAAATGATTAATATTGATTGATTCACCACTTTAATGTTACAAAACGTTTATTTCCTAACTGCAAAACCTAATTCAAATATTTCATTTCACCGCAGTTCCATTGAAACCTGATATTCAAATGCTGAATGAACAAAATAATTTCCATCCGAATGAAGGAAAGCGTTTTTCACTATCGTACAACGTGTCATCTTACCCAGCCTCTAATATTACATGGTGGAGATCTAAAGATGGAAAAGAATATGAGTTGATAGCTCAGTGTTTGGGGTTTAAAAAGTGCGAAGTTCTCGGTGGAAAAGAATATATTTCGAATACAAGTTTCGAAATAGAGGATCTTAAATTTCCCCAAGATAATTTCTTCTACAAATGTAATGCTAGTAACGACTATGGAAGTGACTCAGAAACCTTTCGACTACAAGTTTACGGTAATGTAAAAATTATATACTACAAGTATGTATATATATATATATATATATATATATATATATATATATATATATATATATATATATATATATATATATATATATATATATATATATATATATATATATATATATATATATATATATATATATATGTATATATATATATTTATATATATATATATTTATATATTTATATATATTTATAATATAGTCATCCATCGTATATGAGCTGTTCTGCAATCTGATTGGTTGAATTACTCGCCGTATATCAGCTCATATACGGCGAGTAGCGAAAAACAAGATGGCGGTCCAAAAACTACACGAGCTTTGCAAAGCAGAAAAAGGAAAATATTCGCTTTGAGAAACATAATAGTACAAGGAAAAACTCTCAAAAACTAGCAAAATACATTTATTACGTAGAAATTAGATTAAATACAAGTTTTTCAAAGAATTAATACCGAAACAACAGCGAAAAAATATGTTCATTGAGAATATAAATTGTTCAGAAAAGTTTGCAATGAACGACAAATGAATTTGCAGTCAACAAGCACTTACTATAGTACCAAACATCTGTATAATATATCTGAGCTTTCCCTGTGAGATATAGAGGTTCTAAAACCATTTCTTTCACTTCGTCTTCGAGTTGTAAAACAAAAGTATTTCAAATTTTCAAGCGGTTTTTGGCCGAACAAATTGTCAACACATTGTAACAGTGAATAATTAATTACTGCTTCAGTTAATGGCTATATTAGACTATATTATAAAACAATTATACCATTCGCTCTCGTCGCGTATATGGCTGATAGCCGACTCGGTGCTACGCACCTTGTCGGCTATCAGCTCATATACGACTCGAGCTCATGGTATAATTGTTAAATATATATATATATATATATATATATATATATATATATATATATATATATATATATATATATATATATATATATATATATATATATATATATCCTGCTCTCTCTCTCATATATATATATATATATATATATATATATATATATATATATATATATATATATATATATATATATATATATATATATATATATATATATATTGCACAAAATCGTGTTACAATTCAAAACTTTCTGAGTTCTCTGGTTGGCGAGAAACGTTCCAATCCACTAGATTTTTTCACATTTTATAGGATTGTTACACCGCTAAAGAAAAAGAATACATTTAAAAAGTAAATGATCAGTCGCGTGGTAATGCAAAAAATTGTTAACATTGTTACACTTTCTACGCAGAATAGTATGTGCCTTTAGTTTCTTCAATTTTTTTGTTGTTTTTGAAAGTGGATTTTCGGCATTCTGAGCGGCAATTATTGCTTCAGAATTACTGCTGAGGGAGCCAATCAGAACGATTGAAATCATAGTCTATCAAGATACGATGGTCTGGAAACTAAACAGAAGTTATTCTATTATATTTTTGTTTGATTTTATGTTAATTTGTGCACGGTCACCGTGAATGAGCTGTTTGTATTTCTGTATAATTAATTAATCGTCGAATAGGGATAGTTGAGATGAAACGTGCAACAACGATGAATAATATTTAATGAAGTAAAGACAAATGATTGGTTTATGGTGAGGTAACAATTCAACATCAAACAAAGGCCTTCTATTTTCTGGATTTGAAGATTGCCGTGTTTCCAGACCATCATCTTGACAGACCATGATTGGTGTAATATTTTATTGCATAATATAATTGTTGTTTTATATTTCATTATATACAGTGAAACCTGAGATTAATATGGATAAGACATATAAATTCCAGAAAGGGACGGTAATTGACTGTGCAATAAAGAGAGCGAATCCTCCAGAAGTAAATTACACCTGGTATTCATGTGACATTCCCATCTGTAGCGAGAGAAGTTGGAAATTCGTCAAAAAATACCCTACGTTACAACTTGCTAGTCAATTAAAACCTGATATGAAGTATAAGTGCGAAGCCAAGAACGCTGCTGGCACTGCATCTAAAATCATTGATGTGTTTAAACCCGTCGAAAATACCAGTGATAGTAAGTGTACCCAAATCTCACAATTTGTAATTATAGATTGAATTATAGATACCGTCGTCAGAATACATATCAAGCAACTGTCAGATTACGAATTTAGGCCGTCACATAAGGCTAAAAATATGCCCAGAAAGTGATTTTCGTTGCACACATCAGGAGGCTAATGATTTCTTTCATAAAGTAGTAGAGGAGCATGCCAAATCAAATAATAAAAAAGCCCTCGTTCATCAGTGTGCACAACAACGAGAAATCAACTATATTCTGGTGATGACGTCATCTATAGGTCCGAAAGGTAAAGATATTTGAATTTTGAAAAATGTTTAATGCCATCAGATTGAGGTGCATAATTGGACAAAAAAACTATATTACACTGATAACTTTCAGTCGTTCGTTACCGAGATATCACGTTACAAAGTTTTTAAAAATGCTGAGTCAGCATTTTTGTTTCTCCAGTAAAGCTTATATTGACAAACTGTATGCAGGGAAGGGGCTTATTTTGTACTATTACCTTAAATTGTGCACCACAGTGTGTGAATTAAAGTGGTTAAGCAAGTCAGAAAGCAAGTCTGTTTACCCGTCATCTAAAGCCTTTGAAAGAAACCTAAAAGATGAAATCTGTTGCACATGTCGCCAGTCTAACTAATTTAAACTTTTATTCCTATGTCTAGTAACTTAAGTTAATGTAATTTTTAGTACTAAGCGTTTTAATGACCATTTGTAAATATGCCCAATTAACCCATATTCTATCTTTTAAATAATGTTTTATATACTCTTGTAAATCACGCAATTCAGCTGTCGAGCTGCAAGGTGAATTTTAAATACACTATCTATATCTATCCATCTAATTTCACCATGATCAGACAGTTCTTTTGGAGTAGTTCTGATATTACATGGGAAAATTTGACCAATGCACGCTGCACACAAGCAAGCCATGACTTATTATTACTCAACAGGCACATTACTCAACAAGCAATATCACTGAACATCGAAAATTTGCTATTAATTCCACTCTGTAAAATAACTTCTTTACAAGAAATTCATTTAGTAAAGTTATTCATTCAGCTATGGGCAGCCAAGGAAACCTTAAGCCCCTTCACAGTGGCTAACTTTTTCTTAAAGCTAACTTATAGCTCATTCAATGTGGACTGTGTAGCGCTGTGATTATCATCATATCCCATGTTGTACAAAAGCATTGAAGGTGTTTCACATGATGTCTTATCCTGTCCATACAAATAGTTAGTATAATTCTTGTATCACTTATTATGGTACTTAACCTCAATGGCGACACAATCGTTTCCTTAATTTTTAATAAAATCCTGTTGTCCTTTTTCTTTGTGCCAGCTTCGCACAATAGACCTGCATCTGAAGTCTAACACGCAACAAGGGTTATTCTTCATGACGGCTAATCATTTTGGAATAAATATTATTCAGGTGATTATTTTGCTATGTGATCGCTGTACCATTTACTAGCAACTGTATAATGATTTCATTTAATGATAAATATACCATATAATTACATTTTAAAACATACCATGACAAACAGATCGGATTGTTTCACGCATATTATGCATACTGGAGGCAAAATATTTGGTGATCTAACCTTCATGTCACTATTTTGGGGACCATCATTGTCAAGTGATGGGTGTAAAAGTTTCTTAGGTGGAAGAGTCTGAAACTTCACAGCCAATTAAGGTTTCACTGCCTCATGTTCTCTTTTCCTCCACTTTTTGCAACTTGTTTTAATCACAAAGTCTTTTATAGCAGTTCTCATGGTAATGCCAGTCGAGTTCCCAGTGGCGTAACGGAACCTCCTGAGGCCCCCCATAATTTTTTTAAGTGGGGCCCTATTTTTCAAAAATAAGTTGGGGGTGGGAAAGAAAAAATTTTTTCAAACCATATTCCTTAAAAATAACAAATTTTTCCCTGTCTATGTCTACCAAAAAGGGGCTCCGAATTTCACAATTTCACCAATTCCTGCTTTTGGGGGCCACCTTTTGCAAATTTTCTGACCCTATACAACTGAGACTCAGGCCAATTTTCCCAATGTACTAGCAAAAAGTTTAAGATC